CATCTATTTTGACCACGTAGTTCGTGAAGCCTTCAATAGCTGTACCGGGGGAATCTCCATATGGTACAGATATAATGGGAGGCTGATCGATGCCCGGGTGCGGTCAAGGGATGGCTCCCTATTGCTTAACCACGTTATGTATGCTGATGATTTGGTAATAGCTGCTCATTCAGAGGAGGAGTTGGAGACGCTGCTGCTGAGACTGGAGCGTGCCACTAAGAGGTGGGGCCTTACCATCAGTCCCACCAAAACTAAGCACCTGCCTGGGTATTTTGTACCATCGGACACTACACCCCCACAACTTCCAATCGGTGATGGGGCAGTTGTGGAGCGAGTGGAGAGTTTCCCATACCTGGGCAGTGTGTTTATGACCGGCTCCAGTTTAACAGCAGAGGTCTCACTCCGAATCAGTCGAGCGGCAATATCTTTTAATCAGTTGCGTAACGCTGTGTGGAAGCTACCTGGTCTGTCGCTCCGCACTAAGCTTCAGGTCTTCTCGGCCACGGTCATTCCCTCCCTTCTCTACGCTTGCGAAACGTGGACCCCCCTAATGGAACATCTTCGCTGGTTAGAAACATTTAGGCTGGCCTGCCTACGATCCATCCTGGGTTTAACCAGACTGGATTGTGTGAGGAGCTCACAAATCCTTGAAAGATCTGGGCAAGGTCCCATCGGTGAGCTCCTCCGGCGGGCAAGGCTGCGATGGCTGGGTCATGTAGCCCGCATGCCCAGCCACCGCATGCCGAAACAGCTTTTGTTCGGCCGGATTGAGGGGGCTAAACGGGCACGGGCTAGAGAAGAGATGGAGTGATGTGGTACAGGAGGACGTGGAGCTGAGTGGACTTGCCGATGACTGGTACCAGCGGTGTCAAGATCGGCCTCTGTGGAGGAGGCTCGTGAAGGACGCTACTGGGCAGTTGGAGGTAGTCGCCCTCCAACAACAACGGAGGGCGGAGGAACGACGCTCACAACAACGAGCGGAGCGCCGGGTGGCTAAAGCACAGCAGGTTGGCACAGTAGGGGGCACAGGTGGTGCATCAGCCAGTCATCTCAGTCGACCCGTGGCACCTGGGTCTGCCCCGTGACCTCCTGCCAGCGGGCGTTCGACACTTCACGTGGCCTCAGAGTGCACGTAGCCTGGCACAAGCGTCGTGGTGACGTCACCACCACTTAGTGGTGAATGGCGGTTGTTGTTGTTGTGTCTTGTCTCTCTCTCAAATGTCACATTTAACTTAAGTTTGTGTCTCTGTGTTGTCTCTACCTGTGTTTCTGCCTTTGTGTCTACGTGTACGTGTCTTTTCTCTCTCCACAGTCCCTGTGCGCATGCTAATCTGATTTTGTCCCCCTCCCCACGCTGCGGCGGCATGTGTGTGTGTGCCTCGACTTGCTCTTTCAGTCTCCACACCCTCCCCCTCCCTCTATTTAAGGCTTCGACACAGAAGCATTGTTTCTCTGTGTCCCATGTGTGTGTCTCTCTCTGTGTATCTCTGTGCTAACTCTCTCTGCTTAGATGTCTATATATGTGTCTGTGATCTGTACTCTATCACTCTTAACCTATAATTTAGCAATCTTTGAAATAACGTAATCAGCCAGACCATGCTTTAATTGTGTTTTGACCGACCCTCTGTGCTGCATTATATTGTTTCAAAATTTTACTAAATCTTGTTCGATTTGATGTGCTTCTCCATCTCTCTTTGTCTCCCCTACATGCTAAGGCCTCGACACAGAGACCCTATCTCTCTGTGCTCCATACGTTGTGTCTCTCTCTGTGTTAACTCCCTCTACTTAGGTGTCTGTATATATATCTGCGGTTCTGTTTCCTCTCTTAAATTTAGCTCTTCTATGCCTGATGATGATTGCTTGCATTGCAATCGAAACGTCGTATGCTTTATGTAATTTTATTATTTCTTATTTCTACGTGACTTTACCGAAAAAACAAAGAGTTATATCTGAGTCCTCTGGTTTGTTTTCTCCCCTCCACATTTAGAAACGTGTGCTTCGAATATTTGGCTGATTTACATTTCCACGTGATAAGCCACTTCATTGGCATCTCATTTGTGGCCAGGTCGCTTCGGAAAAACAAATAGCCCCAGTGGGCCTTACCTGGTAAAATAAAATAGCAGTTAAATAGTTAAAATAGTTTTCACGATGTAAAAAAAAATTGGTAAAATTTTTTTCAATGCACACTTTTATTTGCACTCAAAAGGAGAAAATACACTCTTTTGACGCCATAATTAATCAAATTTTACGTGCTGAATAGTCGGTGGTTTTCTTTCGATATGTTTTAAAATTTATGCAAGCCACCCACTTTTATTGAGCACATCAAATTTATTAATTTCTGGGGTAAAAATAATGCACTTTCTGCTTTTGAGTGCAATTACAAGTGTTTGCATTGAAACATTTGTTTTTGACAATTTTTTTAAATATTTTAATTAATAACCTATTCAAATATTTCATGAACTATTTTTATTTCATCAGCTAAAGGCCCACTGAGCTATGTAGCTGATTTTCAGAAGTGACCTGGCTATCGCAAAGTATAGCTCAACGAAATGGCTTATCATGTGGGCATTTACAGGTTGTTACGGTCTGCCGGAGAGTTTTTAATGTTTACATTTGATGGAGTCGTGATGTGGGCATTGTGAACTATTTCTATTATCTGTTATTGTTTATTATTATTGATTTATTTTACTTGTGACTTGTTGCGTTTGTTGGAGAAGCGGCATTGTTTGTTGATGTAACTCGATTTACGAGCTTCTTGGCTCACGGGGTACTTCAAAATGAACTGGACTGATAGCGAGGGTTTGGAGAGGCCTTCATCCAGCAGGGGATTGATCATGGGCGATGATAATATACGTAATTTGACACTTCTAAAGCTCCTTTCACTCGGAAATAACAAAGCGCTTTACAAAAGCAAAGCACACGCAGGCTCGCAACCAATCAAAGTCAACTTCAAAATAAATTATGAAATATGCATGTTTTTAAATCCTTTAATAAAAAGTTAGGTCTTGAGGCGCGATTTGAACAAATCGAGGTGTGGGGGAGCAGAGAGAACTTCCAGTGGATGGGAATAACCGTGACGTTGCTGCATCTTGTCGCTTGCTGGGTGAGAATGGGAGGGGGTAATGGGAAGAGGGAACGGAAGGGGTGAGTAATGGGGGTGGGGGGGGGGAACGAGAGGGGCGAGGGGCCGTCCATAAATGACGTCACGCGATTTTGGTCGATTTTTGACCCCCCCCCTTCGTCACATGGCGTCACAAAAAGTCAGACCACCCTCAATTATGACGTCACAAAGCTCTGCCCCCACCCCCCCCAAAATAAAACATGCTTCAAATCGCTTTAAACTATTGTCATTGTAGTGCGTATTTAATGTAGCGCTGCACTCTGATGGTGTAGGAGAAAACATTTATTAAAAAGTATATTTAATTAAGTAGAACGTGTTGTCTATATTTATTTAAAGTTTGATGTGACGTCAAATTTCTCAAACCTCCCCCCCCCTCGTCACACATCACACATCGTCACAAATGTCTGATATCCTCCCTCCCCCCCCCGGTGCGTGACGTCATTTATGGACGGCCCTTGAGTAATGGGGGAGGGTGGGGAACGGGAAGGGTGAGTAATGGGGGGGGGGAGGGGAGGGGGTGAGTAACGAGTGGGGTGGTGGCGAGTACCGTCTTGTCGCTCCATCTTGTCGCTTGCTGGGTGGTCAACGGCAGAGGAGGGGTAAGCGAGGGGGAGGTGGACAGACGGACCGCGCGCGGACGCCGCTGGGACAGGAGGGAAACGTCAGCGAGACAGAGACGCCGAGACGCAAGGAGGAGACACGGAGAGGAAGAGAAGAGAGAGAAACCTAGGACGCAAAAGAGACGCGGTAAGGAGAGAGAGAGGGAGAAATCGAGTGTCGTTCAACCCGCACGCCAGCGAGTAGCCACTGAGGTGTGGTGATGGGGCGTCACCCAGCAGTCGCCTGACAGGGCGGCGCTTGACAGCTGCCTTCGTGAGCAGAAGCAGCAGCAGCTGGTGCGGCAGCTACATTCAGGAGCGGTCACGCAGCCACCCTCGCTCGCGCAACTCCTCGTTCGGGCGCCGCGGTGGCTAGGAGATGTTAACTACCTCGCCTGGTATGCAGGAGGTCGTGGGTTCGGTCCCAACCCTGATACTCCCTGCTGCTGTATATTTGGACCCTGCGTCTCTCTTTCTCATCGTCATCATCACGGTGGCTAGGAGATGTTAACTACCTCGCATGGTATGCAGGAGGTCGTGGGTTCGATCCCAACCATGACACTCCCTGCTGCTGTATATTTGGAGCCTGCGTCTCTCTTTCTCATCATCATCACGGTGGCTAGGAGATGTTAACTACCTCGCCGGGTATGGAGGAGGTCGTGGGTTCGGTCCCAACCCTGACACTCCCTGCTGCTGTATATTTGGAGCCTGCGTCTCTCTTTCTCATCATCATCACGGTGGCTAGGAGATGTTAACTACCTCGCCGGGTATGGAGGAGGTCGTGGGTTCGGTCCCAACCCTGACACTCCCTGCTGCTGTATATTTGGAGCCTGCGTCTCTTTCTCATCATCATCACGGTGGCTAGGAGATGTTAACTACCTTCGCTTGGTATGCAGGAAGTCGTGGGTTCGAGCCCAATCCTTACGCCTGCCGCTGTATATTTGGAGCCTGCGTCTCTCTTTCTCATCATCGTCACAGTGGCTAGAAGATGTTGGCTACCTCGCCTGCTATGGAGGAGGTCGTGGGTTCAATCCCAACCCTGACGATGCCTGCTGCTGTATATTTGGAGCCTGTGTCTCTCTTTCTCATCATCATCATGGTGGCTAGGAGATGTTAACTACCTCGCTTGGTATGCAGGAAGTCGTGGGTTTGAGCCCAATCCTTACGCCTGCCGCTGTATATTTGGAGTCTGTGTCTCTCTCCTCGTGATTGCTTGGATTTTTCTCCGGGTCCTCCTGTTTTTCCCTCCAGAATTATAAAAATGCGTTTAGAGTATTTGAACCTTATGGGTCCCATAAGCCCCCGTCTCTTGCATAAACTGCGTTGCGACGCTAATAAAAGTTTCAAAGTTTTGTTTCTTCTGTGCATTCGTCCTCGCTTCTGCGCTTGGACATGACATGACAACAGAATGATCCGCGCCAGGTGGGTCGTGGCATTTGTGTGCACGGTGGGACGGAATCGCTAAAGATAAATCAATTAATTACGATTTTGACTTCCGTTTATTCGGGCCCCAGGGTCCCACCATAAGGTTAATTTGGCTGCTGCCACATGATGATAAGCCACTTCACCATTTGTGATAGCCAGGTTGCTTCTGCAAAACGGCTAGATAGCTCAGTGAGCCGTATCTGGTAATATATATGTTTGCTACCACTATTGGGCTGATCGGACCACGGGATTATATAAAGTCTATTTGTGTACAGTATGTATAGAACATTGTAAGAGTTAAACGTAAGAATTGCTTTTAAAATAATGACATCTACAATGGATCTCATATCTGCAATGTTATGGGTTGCTGGGGTGTTATTTGTGTGCAAAATATTCGTGAGCCCATTTTTTTGGGATGCCACAGATAATGGATTCTGCCACTTGAGGATGATTAAATATTCGTTACATATCCTAGATTCCAGCCGGGAACGGCAGTAAATCGTGGATGAAGCGGCACAGCCATGCTGCATTTCCTTCTGCTCCTTCAGATGGCTTCGAACTTTAAATTGCCCTTCATCAAACAAGAGAGTGAAGAGGAGCCAAGCCCGGCAATGTGTCCCGGCACAACGGTGAAGCATGAAGACGTCGGTGAGTCGGCATGAAATCATCAGCTGCCTTCACGTTACTCGGATAACTCAATTGCAGCACTGATTGACACTGCAGCAAAGCACGCTTAAATCCCCGGCTTGCTTCATCTGAAACATTCCACATTGTCGCCAGGACTGTGATCCCCAAGCCCCGCGTGCAAGCGGCGACATTTTAGTTGATCGCAAAAGACAACGTACATTGTTGATTTGGTCTCGGGACATTTAACTCAGGATTCTTGGTTCTTCTATTTACGTGACTTTACCAAAAGAAACAAAAATATGAATTCCTGCAGTCACGAAAGTTTTAAGTCTAAATTCAACTCAGTTTTTACCTGAGAGGCCGGTTTAGTTGCGGGTGGCTTAAACGCAAGAATTGAGCAGTGGCGATTCGCTCGGTATTTCCAAGCAATAGTGTTAGTCTCCTCGCGAACCCACCCCAATCCACCTGCTCACCCTTTGGCTCTGTCACTGCAATGATCGTAGGTGACTTAACCTCCTGTCCAATGACTTATCAATATGAGAAGTCAGAAGTTGATTTTCCACCGAGTAAAGCCCGTAGAGCTAAGAAGCTATTTTTTTAAAGGGCGACTTAACTGGCAGAAAGCATCAAAGCATTCCACAGTTATAGATTACAAAAATAAATAGCAATTACATTGTAAAATTACATTCACACTTTTTAAACTTTGGTAATTTTAAAAACAGAGTCAGTTTAAATGAGGACAGATATGGCAGAATGGAGATGCGCTGATTGTAATGGAGCAGATTTGAATTGAAACAGATTCCGACTTGTAGGTATTCAATCTTGATTTGAAGCTTTCATGACTGCAAGAATCCATACTCTTTAGTTCTTTCGGTAAAGTCACTTAGGTATGAAATAAAATAAATCATGACGTTTCGATCGCAACACAAGCGTTCGTCCTCAAGCGGAAAAAATGTAATCCAGCAGTGGAACTGCTAAACTAGCGAGAGAGCAGCTTGTAGGTATTGGATGTTTAATCGTTTAAACAAAAATCATTTTGCAACTGTTCAACTTTACGTGGCCGAACATGTGGTGTGATTCAAATCTTATGATGGTGCCCATTCCCCATTCTTGTGTGCAGCATCTTGAGAAAATTGCATTGCATTTTAACAGTTTGGAGTGTCAATTGCACCATGCGTGTGCAGGGGCAGTCGTGAAGCAAGAAAATGACTGGAGGCTGGGTGATAAGAAATGGAGGATTGTGGTGAAAACTGAAGTGGAGGAGGACGGTAAGAGTCCTGTCTCATCGGCAGGAGGAGCGAAGCAATGAGAAGATTGTGCCAAAGACACCCGCGTAGCCCCCGAAGCCTTTAAGATTAACACAGTTGATTACGTACGGTGCGAAATAAATTCTACATACAGACGGTTAATGTTGTCTTTATGTATATACGTTGATTTTTTTTCGCAACGTACGTATTCAACCGTGCTAATCGGAGCATCAGTGCGGTAAAAAAAATATGAGTAAGAAGGATCCATTGATAGAGGGGGAGCGTTTGTCAGCCACGTGGCTAGCTGCCCACTTTACCGTAGTTCCTCCTCACGCCTCTAGAGTCGTTCTCTCCCTTGGACAGCGAGGAGCGAACTCCATGCGGCGCATTATAAAACATAAATGATAATAAGAGTTTTAAGAAGAAACGTCTCTGGCTGACCAGTTTTGAGTGCCTTGTGTTTTATGCATTCGATCTCATGTTCCATCACACCACGATGCGCGTTTTATTTTCATTGATTACAGCTCTCGATCTGAAGATCGTTAAAGATGAAGGAGCCGGTGGGCCGCCAGAGGCGATGGGGGATTCCCGTGGATATTTTTACACTCCAGACCAGAACTTCATTGAGGTGGAGTTGTCGGAGGAGGACACTGGGGAGGAAGGTGAGTTGCCTTTGATTGCATCGCAGAGATTATGTCATGGTTTCCTTGCAGTCATATTCCAGATGTTCTTCGACTGGAATCTATAGCAAGAGGTGAATAAACGACCTCATGAATTTCACCCTTCGTACGGCTGATACTAACGTAGAGCAACAGCTATTTACATTGAGGTGGTTAACGAGCCAGATAATTGCATCAAGGGGGTAGCAGAACACTGTGATGATGCTTCCTTTGCATTTGTGAATCGGGCATTGACCTGTTTGACATTCCATGGTTTTTCCAAATCGGTATGACGTACCACATCATGTCAGATAACGGGATCATGGGGTGCCTTTATCCAGTGGGCCGGGGTTATCGCCATGCCCAGTTATGCCCCAGACACAGCTCCACACAACACGGGTGGTCATGGGTATTTGCATACACCGGTGTGTGTCCTAAACTCCCCGTGTCTTAATACACCGCCCAGGGAAGTACCACCAACCTCAGTGGGCCTTACCTGTCGTTGATAAAAGGTGTACACAACAGCAGCAACAATAGCAACAGCAACTACAGGAGCAACAATAGCAACTGCAACAAGAATAGCAACAACACCTTGCGATGGCGACGCTGCGACTTCTGCTGCTGTTGCCTGGCTGTTTGCGGCTGAGCCCGGTTCTCGCGGTACTCTGGATGAGCAAACCGTGCGATCTGGTCAAGCAATGCCTCTCCCTCTTCTCTGGAGAATGGGGGGGGGGGGTCATACGGAAACTTGGATCGACAAACCCAATTCTATCTCCCCCAAACTTCACAGATACTGCTGTGGGACTTACCAGCAGACTCGGCCCAGCATCCAATGTGCTGAAGAAGGGGGTGCTGGTCGACGACTCATCAGTTCAAACTACTCGAATTTCGCACCCCATTGTGCTGTGATCTGCTGTGGAAATGCTGACCCCTACCCTGGCCATGTGCATCACTTGTTGCAATTCCTCGCACGTGGTTGTGCTACAGATCTGGGTCAATTCTTCTTCCGTCCCTAGCATCCACATGATCGCGGAAGAACGCCCTCACCGCCGCACTGCTGCTGATGTTGGGTATTGAGCCAAAACCCTGGACCATGGCTCCTCAGCTTTGGATTAGTCAACGCACGCTCAATAGTCAACAAGACAAAGACGGTCACTGCATCGCGTGCATTCAGATGTGTTTCTGTGGCCGTCTGGAACGCTCTTCCTTCCGATATTAGGAAGTCACTGGAGCAATGCACTTTTAAATCATCGTCTAGATTGAAAACTCATTTCTTTAGAACTGCTTGTTTGTGTTTAGTTTTTTGTCCTTACCCTGCACCTCCGATTAGCATGGTTGGCCACATATGGGTGCAAAAGAAGTTAAACATACGTAAATATATACTTTCAGTATTTTGGTTGACGTTACCGGTCAGTACTTGATCCAGTATTTTACTGTTCCTGCTATATCTGCCATTAATTGTCTGTTCTCGTGTCAATTAATGCGACTATGCATTTGCGTTTTTAAACTGTGCAGCAGATGAAGCGAACAAGTGGGAACCCTTGTGCGAGGAGTGTGGGGAAGGCAGACGCTTCAAAGCAAAACGCGCCAGCAGCAAGACCCCTCAAGCCTGCACGCGGTGTGGGAAGACACTTGAAGGCGCCGCCGCACTTTGCACGACAGTGACTACCGATGGGAGGAAGCATGTGTGCAAGGAGTGCGGGAAGGGGTTTGCGCATCGTTCCAACTTAGAGAAGCACACGAGGACGCACACCGGCGAGAAGCCGTACGCGTGCAGCGAGTGTGGGAAGGCCTTCGCGCAACGTTCTCAATTAAACCTCCACTCGGCGACGCACACCGGCGAGAAGCCGCACGTGTGCAAGGAGTGCGGGAAGGGGTTCGCGCACCGTTCCAACTTGGAGAAACACACGAGGACACACACCGGCGAGAAGCCGTACGTGTGCGATGAGTGCGGGAAGGCCTTCGCGCAACGTTCTCAGTTAAACCTGCACTCTGCGACGCACACCGGCGAGAAGCCGCACGTGTGCAAGGAGTGCGGCCAGGGGTTTGCGCATCGGTCCAACTTGGAGAAGCACACGAGGACGCACACCGGCGAGAAGCCGTACGTGTGCGACGAGTGCGGGAAGGGATTTACACGGCGAGAGCACTTAAAGGTGCATTGTATCACGCACACTGCCGAGTGGCCGCACGTGTGCAGCGAGTGTGGCAAGGGCTTCGCACAACGCTCCCAGTTAGTCTTGCACTCCGCAACGCACGCCGGCGAGAAGCCACACGCATGCCAGGAGTGCGGGAGGGGGTTTTCACGAATCTCCTCGTTAAGGAAACATTCCCTGATGCACATTTCCGAGTGAGAGCCCTGAATCACGGTTTTGTCTCGATTCAAAGTTATGGTGAACATTAATTTAGGGAAATCCGGTTGCTATTGTCTCACCGTGTACTCTCAACTAAATGTATTCGATATGCAGCAATGCACCTTCTCGAAATGTTTGAATGAAATTGGGATCACAATTTCATTCACGTATGAATGTGTTTTGCTCTTGTGGTAGAGTCGATCATGGTTGGAATCTCGCGGCATATATAATGTTAAATAAGCTGTAATGCTGCAGGTTCAGCAGTAGTCTCCAACTTATTAGGAGTGAGCACCAATTACCAGGTCATAAGTATTACATAACATGGTTGACCAATCAGAGTCATCTCTTGACCGCACCCAGGCATCGATCAGCCTGCCATTGAATCCTTACCAGATGCAATATTCCTCTGGTACGGCCATGGAGAGCTCAAACCAATTGGTCAAAAAAATGCAATAATGTAGGAGCCCTGGCCAATGGCTGATGGTATCATGGGTCTTGACTAGGTCAATAAAGCAGAGATATTGCACACTGTCATGGATATGATCAACCTGAAAATTGGTGATCTGGGCTATGTTTATATGGACTAGCGGAGCAACAACTGGTTACAGTTTCCTCAGGGAACATAGGAGAGGCTAGTTGATGGTGTTTAAAGCATTAGTGAGGGGGGAAAAAACTCGAATCCATGGCCTGAGAGAGAAATTGGTCATTGACAATGCAGGTCAGTCTCTGTAATGCAATTGGTATCGATTGGATTAGGGGGTTGAGCTTATCGTGTGTGTAAAAAATAAATAAAGTAAATGAAAACTAAATTAAATCACGACGTTTCGGGCGCAACACAAGCGTCCTTCAGGTGTGGACAACATCGCGAAAGCACAAACGCTTAAGTGTGTCTCAGAGATGGCTGTGACGAGGGATTATATAATCGCGGGGCATGGAGAAAGGGGCGGACCATCGTGAGTTTGGGGGCGGGGTGTCGGCTGGGAGGTAAAGTTGGGAAGCTGAGGGTGCGCTGGGAGGGAACGACTTGGGCCGAAACTGGGGCTTTGTGATGTAGATGGTGGAAGTAGATAAGCAAGCTAGGATTAAGCCTCATTTTGTTATGCTGCCGGGTGGGTACATTCGCAATGCGCAGGCTAACAACGTATGGAGTTTAAACTGAACTCCAGCGCACCCTCGGCTTCCCAACTTTACCTCCCAGCCCACACCCCGCCCCCACACTCACCATGGCTCTCTCCATGCCCCTATCCATGCCCCGCGACTATATAATCCCTCGTCACAGCCATCTCTGAGACACACTTAAGCGTTTGTGCTTTCGCTACATTGTCCCCACCTGAAGGACGCTTGTGTTGCGCCCGAAACGTCGTAATTTAATTTAGTTTTCATTTTTTTTACCTACGTGACTTTACTGAAAAAAACAGTATGAATCCTTGCAGTCACGAAAGCTTCAAATCTAGAATTATCGTGTGTGATTCCACATTAAATACTTCTGGAGTTATTTTAAATGGTATTGAGGGAGAGACGTTTGGATAGGTGGGAGAAGATTACTAAATGAACGGGAAGTTCGAGGTAGGATGATCGTTGCTGGGATGCTGGGGTCCAATGTGCATTTTTTTTCAGCCTGCATCGCTATCAATACACTTGTGGAAAAGTTGTAGTTGAATTAGGCATTTTTGAACACTGCTGAGCAGAAATCTGTAAGATATTTTTTCCATTTGGATTAAATTATGAATACTTTTAGTTATTTAATATTTTACCCATGTATTTATAAGACGTGGCAAATTAATGGGAAACAAATCCAAGTCTGGTCTTCCAGTTTAGCCCAGGTGTTGAGCGTGTCCTCTCTCAAACCTTTGCCAAGTTCGACTGCGGGGATATTCCGGAGTTGAAGTGAATTCTTGGACATGCTCAAGGAAAACAACCAATCAGAAAACACGACAGCATGTAATCTGGTGGAGACCCAGTGAGATACCTCACTTCAATTAGTTAAGATGCCTGAGAGCTGTGCATAGGAAAAGCTTGAGAGAAGATATCCTCGACACGTGGCTTAACCCCAAGACCACAATTGGATTATGAAAAATCGATGTATTAAATAAAACATTTACAAAAAGATAAATTTGATCATAAAAAAATATGTATGCATATAATTGTTTTAGTGTCCAGCCAATGAGCCATCCAGAGCAACACTTCATACCACCCAGAATATTATTTAACCAGTGTAACAGCTCAAACACCTACATGCCTTACCTCACGATAAGACAGGCCGGCCCATAGATCGCGCACGCAAACAAGAGGCCACTTCCACATCACCATTGCAAATCGGCCCAGGCATGAGGGATGGAAACCAAAAAAGATGACATCACCCGAAGTATCAGACATCCTACATTCCAAAGAAAAACAAATCAGATCCCATACATCGTGACTGGTCAGCTACACTTGTGGATTCTTGCTTTTCTATACCACAGACATTCGCTTGTCACAGAATTCCAGTCTCTTCTCTCGACTCGCACCAGCCACTTAACTCACACTCGCCATTTTTAATCAGATTCCTTACATGTGTTTCCACTCCACCGTCACTGCTCAAGACGAACTCGAGGTATTTAAACTGGTTTCTGTTAGGCTCTTGCCACCAATTTTCAATGGCAAAAGCATATCTTTTGGTTGGCCCATGTTCATTGCATGCATTTACTTTACAAAGCAGGTGCATTCTGTTTCCATGAGTGCTATGGCAATGTGGTTGAGAAGCATGGACACAGACGAAGAACAAAATATATCTTCACGTAATTCCAAACAATGGATGTTTGGAATTACATTAAGAGACAAGAGAGGGGAACACAGAAGATTGTGAAACAGATGCAAGGCATAGGCACCGTTATTTAGGTCTTTGTATGAAGGTGTAGTGAGCATTCTCTTAACCAACAACCAGAGCAGGTAAGGGTCCCAGCCCTTTTTCCATCACACCCAGCTCCCTCCTTCATCCACAGCTCTCTCTCCACAGCTCTCTCCTCACCAACAGCCGGAGACAGGTAAGGGTCCCAATCCTTCCTACATCACAGCTCTCTCCCCTTCACAGCTCCCTCCATCCACAGCTCTTTCCTCCCCAACACCCGGAGACAGGTAAGGGTCCCAACCTTTTCTCCACACGCAGCGCCCTCCTTCATCCATAGCTTTTTTCCTTATTACTCCTGCCAACGTGTTCCCTCTTATCTCCACGGCCCCCTCTCCCGTCGTTTGCTCCCTCTCCTGTAATCGCTGTCTTCCAATTCCCAGCTACCAATCCCCTTCATTCTCTTCCCTCCCATCGCCCCTCCACTCCTTCCCTTCCTTACCCTCTCTTTGATCCTTAAGTGGGTGCCGCGGTGGCTAGGAGATGTTAACTACCTCGTCTGGTATACGGGAGGTCGTGGGTTCGATCCAGACCCTGACACTGCCTACTGCTGTATATTTGCAGTCTGCGTCTCATCATCACGGTGGCTAGGAAATGTTAACTACCTCGCCTGGTGTACAGGTCGTCGTGGGTTCGATCCCAACCCTGACGCCTGTTGTATATTTTGAGTTGGCATGTTATTTCCGTGATCGCGTGGATTTTTTTTAGTCCTCCGGTTTTTCCCCTCCAAATTTTGACGGCATCGCACGTTTCGAGTATTTGTCGGCTACTATAAATGCCCACAATGATATGTAGTGGTTGAACCTTACACGAACAACTTTTGTCTTTCTTCAACCACTTCTTTATTTTCATCTTTTAACACGTTCTCCACACTCCACCGTATCCTGGACACCACGGCTTGCTCGCCGTGCTTCGCCCGTCTCGCTCACCACCTTGGTTCCCAGTATCACGTCGCTTTGCTCCGCACACACACGTCAACTCTATTTCTACCCTCTCTCCACTGCTGGCTATGCTCAGCTATACAGCGTCGTCGCACACAGCGAAACCCAATATCACTTCTCTGTCTCTGCACACCTCGTCTTCAGCTCCGCTAACTCTACACACAGTCCACTGCTAACTGCTTCGTCTTCTTCAGCTCCGCTAACTCTACGCTCACTCCACTGCTAACTGCTTCATCTTCTTCAGCTCCGCTAACTCTACGCTCACTCCACTGCTAACTGTTCCGTCTTCTTCAGCTCCGCTAACTCTACGCTCACTCCACTGCTAACTGTTCCGTCTTCTTCAGCTCCGCTAACTCTACACACAGTCCACTGCTAACTGCTTCGTCTTCTTCAGCTCCGCTAACTCTACGCTCACTCCACTGCTAACTGTTCCGCCTTCTTCAGCTCCGCTAACTCTACACACAGTCCTGGCTTCCAACTCCGGACCCCAACTCTCCTCAGCTCCCACTCCCAATTCTCTTCAGCTCCGACTCCCCAATTCTCTGTGTCTCCTCCTAATGTATCCCCCTTCACATTATTGCTAATTAATTGGCCCGCGTGCGTGCCTCCGCACACAACGCGTCATCCACCACCTGCCTCGTCTCAGACATCCCGGCGCCTCTCCGGCCCCGGCAACAGTCCCAGCCAATCACCGCCGTTGCTTCTCGTCTACCTTAATTGGCCCAACCGATGACGTCACCTTTCAGCTTCTGCACGTGGTGCCTGGCCTAAGGCGACCCACGCTGTTTACGCCTTCCATAGGCTAACCCCCAAATAACCCCACACTGTCCGTGTGATCAATACAATCGCGCAGTTTCCCCAGCACACCTTCCTACTCCACTACAGATATATCGGCCACTTCGTTGAGCTGTAATTTGTGATAGGTCGCTCCTGAAAAAGAGCTTCATTGCTATGGAGGAAAATACTTTAGTTTCACAGTTTAAAAATAGTTTAGCAAATACCCTCGATCGCCGTTAAGGCCGTCCATAAATGACGTCACGCGATTTTGGACGATTTTTTACCCCCCCCCCCCCTAGTCACACGGCGTCACAAAACGTCAGACCCCCCCCCCCTTCAAATATGACGTCACAAATCTCTGCCCCCCCCCCAAAAAAAATAAAACATGCTTCAAATAACTTTAAACTATTGTCATTGTAGTGCGTATTTAATGCGGCGCTGCACTCTGATGTTGTAGGAGAAAACATTGATTAAAAAGTCAATTTAATTAAGTAGAACTTGTTGTCAATATTTAATTTAAGTGGCACATTTTGATGTGACGTCACATTTCTCAAACCTCCCCCTCCTCGTCACACATCGTCACAAATGTCTGACCCCCCCCAACCCCCTAGGTGCGTGACGTCATTTATGGACGGCCCCTTACTCATTCTTCAATACTCCTAGCACGCCCCGACCACCTAGATAATTATATTACTCCGTGTCACCGTTTTGCAAGCTATGTCATCGAACGCCTCGGAAGTAAAGGCGCTCTCCCTCTGTATAAATACGCAATTAGATTCGCTAAAACCTGGACGAGGAACACAAAACTTGCTGGGTGTTGTGGCTGCATCTTGTCTCTCTCCGACCCCTCCCCCGTTTCGATGGGATTTAAGAGATTGGCAGCCACCGCCGCCGCTACTTCAGCGTCTTGTTCCGCATCTCTCCGTCTTGTCCCGCATCTCGTCGCTTTGCTGCGTGGTCGCTGCTGCTGCTGCGTTGGAGAGACCCGCAGGTTGGTGGTGAAATTCACTCAAGACGCGAGGTGAATTCACACTGACACCGCCATTCACTCTGTCTGTGTCCCTCGCACCGTGTTCACTGTTGTCACGAGGGGTGAATTCGCACTCACACCGCCATTCACTCTGTCTGTGTCTCTCACACCGTGTTCACTGTTGTCACGAGGGCTGAATTCACACTCACACCGCCATTCACTCTGTCTGTGTCTCTCGCACCGTGTTCACTGTTGTCACGAGGGGTGAATTCACACTCACACCGCCATTCACTCTCTGTGTCTCTCTCGCACCGTGTTCACTGTTGTCACGAGGGGTGAATTCACACTCACACCGCCATTCACTCTGTCTGTGTCTCGCACCGTGTTCACTGTTGTCACGAGGGGTGAATTCACACTCACACCGCCATTCACTCTCTGTGTCTCTCTCGCACCGTGTTCACTGCTGTCACGAGTGGTGAATTCACACTCACACCGCCATTCACTCTCTCTGTGTCTCGTACCGTGTTCACTGATGTCACGAGTGGTGAATTCACACTCACACCGTCACTCACTCTCTCTGTGTATCTCGCACCGTGTCCACTGTTGTCACGAGTGGTGAATTCACACTCACACCGCCATTCACTCTGTGTCTCTCTCGTACCGTGTTCACTGCTATCACGAGGTGAATTCACACTCACACTGCCATTCACTCTCTGTGTCTCTCACACCGTGTTCACTGCTATCACGAGAGGCGAATTCACACTCACACCGCCATTCACTCTCTCTGTGTCCCTCTCGCACCCTGTTCAGTTGTCAAGAGGCGAATTCACATTCACACTGCGATTCACTCTCTTGCACCGTGCTCACTGCTGTTACACAAGAGGTGAATCCACATTCACATTGCCTCTTAATTCTCTGCTAAATGACACCTAGCTTATTCATATTCACCTAGCTTGTTCTGAGATCGGAATCAGAATCTGTATTTATAGTGGAGGAATCCGATGAGCTATAAAGCTCTTTTTCCCACAGACGTCCAGTAAGGTTTCACAGACGGCTAGTCGATAAAAAGTTGGCCAGGTTCGGTACTATCCACGCCGGCTTTAATAGGCTAATAATATGAGCTCGCAAACAACGATTTGCCCCAGGCTATTTAGGATACGCACGGGGATCTTTTACCTCGGCGTTATGCGTTAAGCATCCACTTGGGTGTCTGCATATTCCTTGTTTTTTTGTGTTTTTCTCCACAGCAGGATGGCTTCTCGGATTGAGATGACGTCCATCAAACAAGAGAATGAGGACAACGCGAGCCACGCGGCCTGTCCGGACGTGGCGGCGGTGAAACGCGAGGATGCCGGTGAGACCGATCGGGGAGTCGGTTGGCAGCGTCCCCTCCGTAACTCTCTGACGCCTGCTTTCCACGAACTATTTAAAAACGTATTCGTATTTTTTTTATTGTACCAAGTGCCAAGGCGCCCCACTGGGGGGCTGCTTTGTCGCTTTTTTTTTTCAGAAGCGACATTGGCCATCACGAATGATAGCTCAACGAAGTGGGGTTTTTCATCATCGTCGTCATCATGTGGACATTGGAACCTTATTGCGGTACCCCGGGGTACCAAATAATAAAAAAATGGCCGAGGCAATTAAATATTTTATTTCTGGGACACTTTTTTTTTCAGGGGTGTACTTAACTCTGCAACTGGGATAGCAATCCGAAATCAGTGCTACTCCGCGATGTTGAAATGCTAATCAACTTTGAATAGTGCATCGTGCACAGCTCGTCGAGATGAGTCGATTGACGCATCGCCGACCATCAAAAGACTAAAAATTACTGCATCATGGACATTATGCGAGAGCCCGGGGTACGATGGTACCCCGGGATACCGCCATAAGGTTCAGTTATAGTAGCAGTAAAAAAATCGGAAATGCGTGAATGTTGATTCTACATGTGGAGGGGAAAAATCCACGCGACCATGGGGAGTGAGAGAGAGAGAGACGCGAAAACGTCAAATATACAGCAGCAGATGTCAGGGTCGGGATCGAACCCACGACCTCCTGCATACCAAGCGAGGTAGTTAACATCTCGCCACCGTGATGATGATGAGAGAGAGAGACACGAAAACTCCAAATCTACAGCAGCAGGCATCGTCAGGGTCGGCATCGAACCCACGACCTTTTGCACACCAGGCGAGGAAGTTAACGTCTCCTAGCCACCGTGGCACTCAATGACTGGGAACCAATGGTTGGCAGTCTAGGGGCAGCCCAGTTCAACAAAGACTTAAGGTTCTGGTTCTCAGGACCTTATTCCGTGTTTAGCCCCCTCAGTTAATTGCCGAACACTTCATAGTCAGAGTGGATGGCTTGTTTAGGTTGGTTTTTTGTATTGCTATCCTGGATCTTTATTATAATTTTTTAACATACCAGGTAAGGCCCACAAAATAAACATCCAGGTTAGTAATAAAAGACAACCAAAAACAAGCGATCGATATTATTCAACTCTCCCACCAAGAGAGCATTGGTCTTTACCAATGTGGCAGTTCAAATCCACTGCTGTAAATAAATAACTGCTGATTAGTTCAGCATCTGAATATTTATTTATACTGGAGGAATCCAATGAGCTTTCAAGCTCTTTTGTTTACAGATATCCAGTAGGGGGCACGGGGTAAGAACGTTACAACAAACAGTGCAAAAACACGACATGAGTGCAAAGTACAAGAAAAGTAAACAAATCACCTAAACTTCATACAAATACAATATTAAACCATCCCCATCCTACCAGGCAAAGCCCCACTGAATTTAACACCCTAGACTACATTGTGTAAAAGCTTGGAGGCTGAACTCCTTGTGTGCCCTGTTCTTATAGCTGCGAGACAACCACATAGTAAACGATTGTGCTTCTTTTCTCTCTCTAAACTGCAGCTCAGGATTTGAGGATTGTTAAACCCGAGCGAGAGCGAGGCGGCGAGAAGCCAGAGCAGATGGGCGCCTCCCGTGGACTTGTGGACGACGCTCGTGACCGGAACGTTGTCAACGTCGAGTTATCAGAGGAGGAGGAAGACATTGGTGAAAGTGAGTTCCCTTTGATCTCAACTTCTCCTTCTGTAAGACGGTCAACCAAATTTATTTAAAATTTAAATCTAATATCACCTCCACTCAAGGGGGAATCAAAACATTGTACACTAATTTTTTTTTAGCAAAGACAATAAAATAATGGTCAAGTGAAAGCCATGAGAAAAGTGAGTCTTGCACTCCCTCATAAAAAACACTGAGGCTCGTAGCGTGCCGGATCACCACCAGCAAGGCATTCCAGATTCTTGGGCCAACACTTGAGAAGGCCTGACCCCCCCAGCATTGAGCGCAAGAGCCTAGACTGGGAGAGTAGTAGCAGGTCCTGCTCTGAAGAGTATAGTTTAAAAACCCCAGACGTATGACAGATCAGCCGGGGCTGTAGTTACATTGGTCCAAGACCATGCAGAGCTTTTTAGACCAGAATGGCTAACTTATACTGAATGTGAATGCATTCAGGCCGCCGCATTTTGCCCTAATTGAAGCCGCGTCAACAAGACACGCGGGAGGCCCATATGAAGGGCATTACCGTAATCAAGGCGAGTCGATACGAATGCACGAGGCAACGACTCAAGGTCACGATCTGACGGGAAAGGGCGCAAACCGTGGAGTTTGCGGAGATGAAAGAAAGCAGACTTGACCACAGCCGCCACCTGCGCTCGCATATTTAGGCTGCGGTCAAATAGAACCCCTAGGGTTTGCATACCTTGGGCAAGGCATTAAGCTGAACTGAACCCTGTTAAAAAGCGGAAGTTCGATCTCGCACTGATAATGCTGAGGCGTTATGATGTCACACCCTATGTGATGTCATAATACCTCCTGTACACGTGATGCTATGGCATGAAGACATCAGGTGACACGTGATCTCACCTGGAATGCCAGTAATATCCAAGTTTTATTTTGCGGCCGATCGGATAAATAAAGTTGAAGAGCCCTGCCCTACTGTATGGGACAAAGTATGTGGGTGATGTTGATTTAACAATGCTGAAACCATGCCACAAATGACTTATTTTTCATATACATTGAGCCTATGTGTTTTTTCTCTTTCTTTCCATTTTGGAAAACCACGGGCAATGAAGGACGTGCAAAGGGACTGCTTTGCGAAGAGTGCAACGAGGACTTTGGTGGACGATTCGGAGCACGGCTGGATAGAGAGAAAAGCACCGGCCAGCAGACCACGTCAGGCTGCATGCGGTGTGGGAGGAAGCCTAAAGGCTCTGCACCGTCCGTGAATCGGAAGGAATGTACTGTAAAGAAGCTGTGCCTGAGGGTAAGGCTTAAGAAGATTTCTGTACCAGCGGATACAATGGGAGGGCATAGAGTGCCGAAGGTGGCGGGCGAGAAGCCACACAAGTGCATGGAGTGCGCGAAGACGTTCTCCAAGCGGTCCAATTTAGAGATACACTGTAGGACGCACACGGGCGAAAGGCCGCACGTGTGCGAGGAGTGCGGCAAGGGGTTCACGCAGCGCTCCAACCTGGACACTCACTCCCGGACGCACACGGGCGAGAAGCCGCACGCGTGCGGCGAGTGCGGGAAACGATTCACGCGTCACTCCAATTTGGAGATACACTGCAGGACGCACACCGGCGAGAGGCCGCACGTGTGCCCGGAGTGCGGGAAGGGGTTTACGGCTCACGGTGATTTAAATAAGCATTCTCGAACGCACACGGGCGAGAAGCCGTTTGTGTGCGAGGAGTGCGGGAAGAAGTTCTCGAAGCGTTACAACTTAGAGGCCCACTATAGACTGCACAGTGGGGAGAAGCCGCACATCTGCAAGGAGTGCGGGGAGAGGTTTTCAAAGCGCTCCACATTGGAGAAACACTCGAGGACGCACACAGGCGAGAGGCCGTACATGTGCGAGGAGTGCGGCAAGAGGTTCACGCAGCGCTACAATTTAGAGATGCACTCCAGGACGCACACGGGCGAGAAGCCACACCTGTGCAACGAGTGCGGTAAGGGGTTCTCGCAGCGCTCTACTTTAAAGAAACATTCTATAACGCACACGGGCGAGAGGCCGCATATGTGCCAAAGGTGCGGCAAGGGTTTTACGACGCGCACTTACTTAAATAAGCATTCTGGAACGCATGCAAGTGAGACACTAACATCTTGAAAGGAGTGTTGGTAGGAAATAAAATCGCACGTTGCAATTTAAATGTTTCCTGTGGACACCATAGTGGTATGAAGCTATATGGTCACTTGTATAAAAACAAAAACCCACGCATTTAAATAGTTAAAAATAGTTTATAAATGCATGGATCAGAATCTTAAGAATCAATTCAATACCTGAAATAGTTTTACGGCTAATGTACTATATCTCCGACGAGCACGGTTAGCTACGTACGGTGGGAAAGAAGTTCAACATGAATGCGTACGTATCTGGTCAATGGATGTTTGTTCTTAATTGATAGCTGCATATGACCAAATCGCCTGGCACCTCGCATCTGCCCAATCACCAGATGTTAGAAACTAAGCGAGTTTGAGCCTTGTTAGTGCTTTGATGGGTGACCACAGTGCGCATGCAGGTCTCTGTTGGGCTGTTGGGACACGTGGTGGGCAGCAGAGATCCATTCATTCATTCACCCCGCGTAGTCAGCGAAGGATCCGTTGTGCAACGTGCGACATCTTGCGACAGCATTCGCACGAACTGCTCTTGGCCGCCATACGCCAGCGTCTGGAGTGATTTGTTTGATCCTCGAATCGCGGGGGGCGACGCCGTTCCTTTGAGGGTCGCGGTCCGCTCCGAGCGTCGACCGCCAACTGAAGTGAGAGGGCAATTTGCTGCAGGAGTTTGCGCGTCGGGGGGGGGGAAACGTGACCAAGCAAAGTGACACAACAGCCGTCCCCCTCTCCAACTGAGCTCTCCATCGCTCAGGAGACCGGTCCAGTCACAGATGCTAATGGTGACGTTTCTGCCAGAATCGAAGCCCCCACCTATCGGATGCCAAGAAGGGTGTCTTTGGCATTGCAGTGTGGAAGGGAGGACGACTAGCAGCCCGATACCAAATGGGCTTGAAACGATGTCCAGGTCCCTCCGCACCGGAGTACAACACTGACTAATCACAGCCACTGGTAGACTCTCAAATTGGTGCAGCAGATAGCAGTCACTGAAATCCATCACTCTGTAAATGATGAGAAAAAAACACCACAAAAGGCAAATGTGTGGAAGCTGGAAAAATACATATAAGTGACAATCAGGAAGGGACAATTTCCGTCATGCCCAGCAATGTTGTTATTTGATCTCCACATTGAAAGAACAAAGCTCTCGGCTTTATCCGGGACCACCAGCTCTAATGAGTTGAATGTGCGGACGCATTATCTTTTAGACCACAAACTGCAGCGTTGACACACACCAACTGATGGAATGGTCACATTTTTAACTACTGTCCATCTGTTATTTGAATGGTCCGATTTGTATGTATGTATTTGAATTGGTGCATTATTTTAAAATCTAAAAATCACACGATATCTACATCTGCCAACGTAACTTAGCATTTGTGTACTCAAGACCTGTTTTGTGAATTGCAGAATTTCAAATAAATACAATACCTCGTAAAAAATATATATTTCCGTCACTGGGTGGGGGATGGTAACCTTCACGCGGTGCACCTGTTAAGATGCTCATCGCATAACTCATAGTATCATTTTGGCCTTGGAAATCGTTTATAAACTTTCAAATACCGACATACAAACGTCCGCACTTTATATCGAACCGATATGGATTTTTTTTAACTGTCCGATTTGTGAACATCGCTCGTATCTGCTAACCGAACCTCGGAACTATTTTGTTCGGTGGAGCGATACTCCACGAGATGTAATGACTCCCAGCGTCCTGATGGGAATGTGTTTGTGTGCTCACCCTCACGCGTGTGGAGTCTTATCGTAGTGTGTGTTGGCCCAAGCAGCTTCTGTTTGGCTGGATAGATGGGGGTAAACAGGCACAGCACGAGCTAGAGAATGGAGATGAACTGATGTGCTACAGAAGGATGTGGAGCTGATTGGACTTGCTGATGACTTACCAGCACTGTTTAAGATCGGCCTCTGTGGAGGAGGTTCGTGAAGGACGCTGCTGGGGAGTTAGAGGCAGTCGCCCTCCAGCAACAACAGCGGGCAAGAGGAACGGTGCTCCCAAGCTCTGCTCGTTGTTGAGCACGGTGGGTGAATCTGTCGGCCATCTCAGTCAGCTCATGGCACTTAGGTCTGTTCCCGTGACCTGCCAGCGGGCCTTCGATAATTCACGTGGCCTCAAAGTGCACCTAGCATGGCACAGGCTCCGTGGTGACATTACCACGGCGGTTGCCATGTGGTGTAGTGTATAATATACTGTTGTGTGTACAGTGGCGTGTAGAGCGTAGTGTGTGGGGTTACTGTATTACATATATTGCGGTGCAGGCTGTGTCCGTGTAATACAGGCTGTGGGTGTGTGTAGACCTTGATATTTGGTGGTATAGGCTGTGTCTGGGCCGTAGTGGCGAGTGGGGGTATGTAGTTCGTGTGTGCGAAGGGCTGGTAACACCTCCACCTGGCACTTCTACCAAGCACCATGGAGCCGTCCATAAATGGCGTCACACACCGTGGGGGGGATCAGACATTTGTGACGATGTGTGACGGGGGGGGGGTTTGAGAAGTGTGACGTCACATCAAAATGCACAACTTTAAATAAATATAAACAATAGAATTGTTATAACACTAATTTGGATTAATTTTCAATTTTTACTATTTGATTATTTAAATTGACTAAGGTCACCTTTTATTTATTCCATGAAGGAGCATTTTGCTTCTCCATGGGAGAATGGAGAAGCATAATTTTGCATTTTTTTGAATGATTGTTATTAAACATTTTGATTTTGATGATTCTACCAGAGCTTTTCATTCTGTGGAATGAATGTGATTGTTATAATTGTACTCTCCATTTTGCTTCATTCTACTACAAAGTTTTATCGTTATAATTACTTTTAATATTTTATAATTATAAGAGAATTTCAATGTAAGTCTGAACATCTGCAGTTTTAGTTAGACGTTGAATATTTTTAAGTGAATTTTATGCAAAATTTCAGCTTTCCAACGCCTTTTAAATACGTGTTTTCTCCTACAACATCAGAGTACAGTGCCACATTAAATACGCACTATAATTACTCGTTTAAAGTGATTTGAAGCATGTTTTATTTTCAAAGTGGAAATATGGTATGGGGGGGGGGGAAGAGCTTTGTGACGTCATATTTGAGGGGGGTCTGACTTTGTGACGCCGTGTGACGAGGGGGGAGGGATAAAAAAATCGGACAAAATCGCGTGACGTCAATTATGGACGGCCCCCATGGTGGAAACACCAAAGTAAGCTCGTCCTGGAGGCCCCAGGGGAAAGGCGTTTATGGTGCCTTCTGCACAAATCCCATTTGGCGGAGCAAGACTGAACCTGGCCACGTGCAATGTTTGAACTCTCGCTGCGGAGGAGAGGCTGCCATTCCTCTGTCGGGAGATGGACCAGTACCGCCTGGACGTCTGGAATACAGGTCCAGTGGACTGGTTCTGGCTCCAGTAAAACGAGGTCCGGGCTCAAGAAGAGAGGCCAGCCAGCTCTCCATGATGTGTCCCCCTCCGTATCTTCCACTGCTACGCATGCCTGGAACTCCCCTCTCCTCCCATGAGGTCAGTCATGAAATAAAAAAACCCTGAAATGTTGTGATCAGCTGTTTTTTTGTTCCGCATAGTCACAGGAACCGTCGTCTTTATTTTCAATGATCAATTCAAAACATCCAACATGTCACATTCACGGATGTAGAGATGCGCTCATCCAGCAAGACTGATTTATAACAAAAAATGCATTATATTTAAACAAAAGATGAGTCAGTCGAATAAGACGAGAGAAAAAAATACCAACATGAATAACCGTATATCAAAATCTTAATGTATAAAATAACTCAGTCATAAAAAATATTGCAGTTCGAGATAGCCATGTGGCTTAAAGCATCAGAGCACTGCTTTCATTTTGGATTTGAATCCTTACAGCTACCTGTGATTGAGCCATGCTCTCAAGTGTAGTGAGTTGACGATGGTTTCCGTCTGGTGAATGATGATTGTGTGAAAATGCATCATGCCAAATTCGTTTTTGCCCTTAGCCTGAAAAATGTTCTGTTTTCAACTCGTGATGGTTTTTCACTGTCACGTGACACAACATATTGGTCTATTGGCAAGGTAGCTGGGAAAATGCTGCCCCTAGTGTGATAAAAGTGAAGGGATCTCAGTGGTTCCATGATGCTCTCTTCTGCAGATTGTTCTCTAACGTCAAGCATTGTCTCACCGCTCTGCCAGTTCCGAATAGAGCCGTCAAGTCTGTGACATGCCCTTCGACAGATTCAGCAGCTTTCAACAGTTTGCTCCTGGATATTAGAAAATAGGTGACATATATCTTGTAATGCTGTTTACAGAACCCGAATCAATAATACTAATCTTGAGATCAGCGAGGGCTGAGACTGGGAGCCAATGTAACTTATGTGGGAGCATTGCGATAAACTTCACATCTGAAAAACAATCCGACTGCATTCTAAAGAAGCTAAGACTTGCACGCACGTCAACAAATGAATCTATGGACAAACAGTCAAGTTGGAAATAAATTAAGTGATGAACCAATGAGTGATGTTCATCAAAATTTAAGGTGGGTTGCAAACAAGTGACAGGCATATAGGAGCTTTCTGGGCAAGCCACGTCGCCAATATCTCACGTTAAAGCAGAACCGTATTTAATTAGTTGAGGGACCAAGCTTTTCTAGATATAAAGACTAAACAACAACATAGTATGATATATCCATTCTAGTGGTGCTATAGGGTGACCAGAGGTTTTAATACAAAAACGTATTTTTAAACCAAAATAACCTTTCTGCTACAAACATTTAAATGACCGAAGTTTACACACATTACAACGTCATCACCATGGCATATTCATGAATGGAAACTTGGAAACAGTTACTGTCCAGAATGATAACGCGAAACCAAACAAAAAAATCACACATCGTTTTCTCCATTTTCCCACGAGGTTTACATTGTGTGTGGGTTGTTGTTTAGCAGCTCACCTGTAAGGATACCATTGTGTTTTTTTACAGCATAAACACCACACTCATTACAATTCAACGCAAGCCATGTCTCGATTGACGAGCGGGAGATACGTTCCATGAAAATTGGTAACAGAAATCTTGGTTTAAACGACCGTCATGTTCCCATCGACTCCTCCCGCGTTAAAAGCTGAGATGTATGTTCTGGCCTCCAAAAATGTTTTTTTTACGCGAGAAATACACTTAATCGTCATAACAAGGTAGTAAAACATCAGCATAACACAATGCATTAAGAACCACAGCGCTCGCAAGGGACCTGGATTTTTTTTATTTTAAGGGTAGATGTTCCTATCTTGTTTTAATTTACATAGCGCCTTAACCAAGGCCCTGAACAAAGAATTAGCAATTTGTACAGCAGAATAATAGTGCTATGAGATGAGATGGGTTGATGAGAAGGATGTTAGTGGGTGGCAGGAGAGGCAGGATCGTCAGCCTCTTCTTCCGAAGATTCTTCTGACGAATCTTGTCGTTTGGACAATGGCATGCCACTAGGGGATGGTATTAGAGAGGTTACAGTTAGAGTTGATCTTACGGAGGTCGAAGTGGTGAAAAACCTATTGATCTTCGACTCTGACGCTTGCCTCTGTTTCTCAAGATACAGCTCGGTGTAGCATGACATCGCCTTGCGTATCACACGATTCACTTCACTGCTGCGTTCTTGGTTCGGATCGTTCCGGGCATAGATGGCAAGTCCTTCTTCAATTCTTCTGTTAGCTTCGGCCAAGTTTCGCAGGGTAAACGTTGGGGTGGGTGTCTTGGTAGCTTCAGCGCCATCATCCTCCTCGACTGAAACTAATCCTTTCCTCAGTTGAATAAATTCCTCATTTGTTAGTTCTTCACCATGAGACTCCAACACTTCCACCACATCAGCCTGCTCCACTTCGTGAAATCCAGCATTCCTGGCAAGTTCGACGATCCTATGGATATCATTAACTGGATCCTGAAGACCGGTTAGGTCATGCTTGCATTCCTTCCACAGTTTTCCCCAGCATGCATTCAATGTTGTCTGCGCCACTTCATTCCACGCCTCATTGATGTTGTCAATGGCGTCCATGATGTTGTAAGAGCGCCAGAACTCTCGTATTGTTTGCACGTCCTTATCCGTGTTTGCGACGATCTGCTCCATCGTTCGACGCATGTAGTACACATTAAAGGTGCGAATGACACCTTGGTCCATGGGTTGTATCAACGGTGTGGTGTTTTTTGGAAGGAATTCCACCCTGACATGTTCCGAAAGTTCAGAGAGTGTGGGTGGATGACCGGGGGCATTATTCAGCAGTAACAGTGCCTTGTGATCCAGGTTCTTTTTTTTGCAGTATTTTTCGATGGCCGGGCAGAAGTGATTCTTCAGCCAGTCGAGAAACACGCTCGCGGTGATCCAACCCTTCTTGTTGGAGCGCCAAATGACGGGAAGGTCGGCCTTGATGCAGCCCTTCAAAGCCCTTGGCGTTTTGGAGTGGTACACCAGCAGTGGCTTGAGCTTGCAGTCGCCAGCCGCATTGGCACCCACGAGCAGGGCGAGCCGATCCTTAGAAGCCTTGAAGCCAGGCGCCGTCTTTTCCTCCCTGGATAGGAACGTGCTTGCCGGCATCCTCTTCCAAAAAAGCCCGGTCTCGTTGACGTTGAACACCTGCTCGGGGGAGTAGCCACCCCCCTCAATAATCTCCTTCAGGGTACTCTTGAATGCCTCGGCTGCTTCGACATCAGCACCTGCAGTCTCGCCGGTCATCTTGAGGTGGCGCAAGTTGTAACGCCCCTTAAATTTCGCATACCACCCGGTGCTGGCGCCGAATGTTTCGTTTGCTGCGCTCTCGCCGGCTCTCTTCTTGAAATCGTTGAACAATCGGAGCGCCTTCGCCTGGATGAGCGCCGTGCTGAGCGGCATGCGGTGCTCATTTTGGTGCTTTATCCACATGCCCAGCGACTCCTCCATATTTTCCATCAGTGGGCTGCGCTTCCTCGTGAGTTTCGCTGCAACGAGTGGCGTCATCCTTTGAGCCCTGGCCTTAATGTTCTCGGAGGCCTTGTGTATACCACAAACAGTTGATGTGGCCAGGCCCAAAGATTTGCTGATGTCGCGGACTGTTTCTCCACCTTCATATCGCCTTATTATGTATTTCTTCATCTCGAGTGTAATGGCCTTTCTCTTCGCTTTTGGAGCACCACTGCTACTCTGTCGACTTGCTGGCCTCTTGGAATTCATGGTGGATGGGGGAGGGGGGTGGAGCGATAAGCAGCGAAGGAAATGCAAACAAAAGTTTTGTTTTCCACTGGACAAAGCACATGGGGCACACTGCACAACACAGCTGGTAAATGAAACGGCACAGCTGGTAAACAAAATAGCTGCGGACCGCCGCTGGACGGCATTATCGATCGGTCTCCGCTCGCCAAGTGAACATTTTGCTCATTATGGGAATAAAAAAAATGGGTCTAAAATTAACTTTGCTTCTGATAGCGAATTCTCGTAAAAGTGAACACCCGTTAAACGAGACGAGCCTTTAGTTTACAATGTAGTGCATGGTGTTAACACCGCAATATTTTTTTGTTAAGTCTCCACAAACGTACAAATTGAATAAATATGCCAGGAATTGCGCGCGCCTCCTGTGATGCGACAATAATCTTTTTCGTCCGTCGAAGGAGCGCCGCAGTCTACAGTGGTTTACCACGAACTATTGGACATTAGCAAACCACTGTAGTCTGCACTCTTCAATGGAGGAGGAATAGCAAAAACTACACACACACTCTCCTGAAGTCCTCTCATCATGGGCTAACAGACCTCAACATTGGCATTATAGCTCCTAAACATATTGCCATATGCACAAAGAGAATTGAACAGCTATCACTGACACTGACGTGCTCATTTTGTTATGCACACATTATCAAGAAATATATCACTTGATATCATTTACATGTATTTTCTTACGTACCATGTTATTACCATTGTGAAGAACTAGTGTAATTGCCCGTCATATGACAGGTTAATAAAATTACATTTAATAAAGAGACTAAGGAAAAGTTTTCCTTGAGATGAATTTTGTTGAATCAGCACTTTGACGTTGGTTGGATTTTTGCATCTTGACAAAGCCACAACATGAAGTTGTCCATGGGAAAGAAACAGATTCGTTGAGATAAAGTTTGTCCTTGTGACTTTTGAGAGTGATAGCAAATGCAGGGATGATGGGAAGCCGTTTTCGCTTCAAAATAACTGGTAAATTCAGATCAGACGGTGCCAGATCAATTGCTGGGAATGAAGACAACATTCCCACGATTGGATTCTGAAATGATTTCAGCCACAACAAAATTACGGTGCATTTCACGAATCACCAGACGTGTGCCATTCAGTATGTTCACGTCGTAAACAATCCAGTGTTTCTTGACTTTGTCGATTACGCCATCTCTGCTGTCTTTCTCTGTTTAATCGACTATGTTGATTGTCAATTCATCTAAACTTGTGGCTTCATCAAGGATAGCTTGACGCTGCCTTTTGCGAGCTTCACGACGTGCTTCTGCAGCAGTCGCTCGTCTTGCTTGTGACATTTCAGCAGTTTCCAGAGCTCGTCGCTGGGCCTTTCTTTCAGTGTTTTCACGTCGTAAACGATCCAATGTCTCTTGACTTTGTCGATTACGCCATCTCTGCTTACTTTCTCTGTTTAATCGACGTCTTCTTTCGTCTGCAGACTCTTCTGAATTCATCGAAATGAAATCTGTGATGGAATGGACGTAGTTTGACACGTAGGATTTTGTGACCAATATTATTCAGAATGAAAAGTTTTAGGTTAGATCGCGGAAGTATAAATGTGGCGTGAGTATAAATGTGTGGTAACCTGCCACCACCACCCGACACAGCCTACCAGTAAGGATTGTCACGTAAAAAACAAACCTGCCAATTAGTTGCTACTTCAGCCCACCAGTGTGTTGGAGAGTAAATCCACAATATTTACAATTAGAGTATGACTTTTCGCTGGTAATTACATCCAGCCTCATTCGTCGATTTTCCAGAATAGTGAAGCTATCCACCCTGCTTCTGATCTTAAATAGAGCAGGATGACGTCATTTCCGTAAGTCAAACAGGTGTGGAGATCAAAGGGGGTTTTTTATTGTAATTATATAACAAAAGTTTGTTAATCACAGTTAATTAGTATGCGATGCCTTTACAAGGCATACAATTGTAAGGTGTATTACTTAATAATACGCTTCCAGTCCGCAATAAGCCTGTAGCTGTCAGAGCAGTTTAAGTTATTTCAATTTCAATAGATTCTCGAATTAGACTCGGGCCAGGAATAATTCGTTTAACACAACATTTCAACGTTATCTTTGTGCTGTACGCCTTTTGGCGTCCTCTGGTCTAATACCGTTTGAGACGAGGCTCAAAAGAAAGCTCTCTGGTGTGGACTAATCAGTTTCAAAGACAATGCATATATTATCAGAGTATGTTTTTTTATTGCATTTTGACCACAAGTATTGTGGTTAATGCAGACATGATTCCTCGTAAAAGGTTTCAGTTTGGTGTTTTAACAACTTAACAACTGTTTTGTTGCCAGATAAAAGGGGAAAAAACGATTCTCGTTATCAAAATAAATTAAATTTCATCGTTCGCAAGCATGTTCTGCAACTGCCGACAGTTGTGTTTGTGAGTATTTAATATGTAATGTTCTTACTCTTTGGGTCTTTTGCTAAAGTGACTTAGAAAAATAAAATAATAAAAATCACGACGTTTCGATCGCAACACAAGCAATCGTCTTCGGGTGAAATAATACAGCAGGAGAACTGCTGAGGCAGGAGACATATAGTGGGAGAGCTGCTGCAACAAGAGGTTATATAGGTTTGAGATGGGTGCAACCCAAGGGTAAGTGGACGGTGCTAGAGATGGATTTTCATGTAAATGTAAGATTGGAGAGCCTAATATACCTCACGACTAAGGTGCCATGAGGGTACATCCATCTGTGTTAAGCTTCATGAACATACGATCATGTATGGATTATGTAACGTTTTTGTAATGTTTTGCATCGACCTAACTTCAGTGTCTTAACATTATTTGTTTTCACTTTGAGTTACTTTTTGTATGATTATTGGTTTATGCAACAACTTCTGTTGCATGAAAAGGGGAAAAGAATAAACAAGGAACCACGTGGCAGAATAAGAGCCAGAGTGAAGAGCCTGATCTCCAAAAGTCGGAAGTTCCAGAAATTGGGGGCCACCAAAGTAAACACCCGATTACCCCAAGGTCACAACTGAGATCGTGATTACCGGTCATGATAGACAGATGCTCCCTTCTTCACACCTATAAACTCCCATGATATGTGTCAATAGCTTAATTTCTGCCATTGCCAAGAACGTCGTGCGACAGACTTCCATGCAGTGAATGCCAGATTTTTTAAAGTTCTTGATTTCCTGACTTTTGTTGGGTTCGGAAAAAAATCATCCTCCTGGACTTTTCAAACTCCCAAAAGGATAACCTTGGAACCAATCCACTGGTCTAAAAATGACTCACTGCCCACTCTCACTACCTGAAACACCAAATATCAGTGCCGACGCCACTGTGGCCTGCCTCCAAGCCAACTCAAAGGTCCCGACTGCTGCCGAAAACCACAATGTAGAGTGTGAAAGCTGCTCAAGCCCTCTCTGAAAAGAAACTGACGCGCTCAACACCTTTACAGCAGCCTCCTGAGAGGGAATCGGCAACTCTGACCAGGTGCTTGCACTTGCCACCAACATTAAGAGAGGCTTCCAGAAGCAGCTGATGACTGGAGCTACCTACATAAGACTTGACATCGGCACGTGGCCACTGTATAGCGCCAAGGTCCGCTACTGAAACTTTCAAAAACCGTCTTATCCCACAAGACTCTCAAGACTGATCAACACCTTCATGAGCAAAAAAGTATATAAACATGCAAAACAAAGCATCAAATTTATCAAGTCGGTTGGCACGAGGCCTGGCTAAACAACGTGCTATGAGTGGCACTTGGGTCGGATGTCCACCCATTATGAATAGACCCACAGAAAGTCTCAAGATAAGTAAGCTCTGCCTTGTCTTGGTTGGTACCCAGATGACTAATGAAGATGCCCTTGGGGCATCGGAAGTTGCTTTCCCTATTATCTACAAAACGTAATGTGAGATGGTCCTCTGAAAGAATCAATCTCTTTCCATAACTGCATTGAGGAAGGAAAGTGGTGCAGATTACGATGGACTTATGCATATAAGAAGTCTATTTGAATTAGACTGCTCCTCCAAATGATTACGGCAGGAGTGATGATTAACCTCTCTGTGACCTTTCAGTAAAAGGAACCCTTGCTCGCGAAGCATTCCACCATTGGTTCAGGTGAGGAGGCTGCACTGTGTTGCAAATTCCTCGGACGAAGTAACCCGCGATAGTATCCACTCAAGGTGAGAAGGAAGAATTCCAGACCATGTGAGTACAGGCAGAAGATACAACTGCAGTGCCCAAATTTGAGCTAACAGGGGTGGAAATTCAAGGCACCAAAAATAAAACCCATTTGCTTCATACCATGTGACTGGAGGCAGCGTGAGTTTTGAAGATGGAGTGTAATGGCCTTCCTCTTTGCTTTTGGAGCACCACTCCTACTCGGTCGACTTGCTGGCCTCTTGGAATTCATGGTGGATGGGGGAGGGGGGTGGAGCGATAAGCAGCGAAGGAAATGCAAACAAAAGTTTTTTTTTTTCCACTGGACAAAGCACATGGGGCACAGTACAGCTGGTAAACGAAATGGCACATCTGGTAAACAAAATGGCTGCCTGGCTGCCGCTGGACGGCATTATCAGTCGGTCTCCGCTCGCAAATCGAACATTTTGCTCGTTTTGGGAAGAAGAAAAATGGGTCTAAAATTAACTTTGCGAGTGATAGTGAATTCTCGTAGAAATGAACACCCATTAAACGAGACGAGCCCTTCGTTAACAATGTAGTGCAGCAAGTAGATTTTTTTCGTGCAAAACATGCATGGTGTTAACACCGCAATATTTTTTTGTTAACGGTCTCCACAAATGTAAAAATTGAATACACCAAGAATTGCACGTGCCTCCTCTGACGCAACCCTAATGCTGTTCGTCTATCGAAGCAGAGCCGCAGACTCCAGTGGTTTACCACGAACTATGGAACACGAGCAAACCACTGTAGTCTGCACTCTTCAACGGAGGAGGAATAGCAAAAACTACACACACACTCTCTCCTGAAG